ATCAATTTCTAAAAAAAAAAAAAAAAAAAAAAGGAAGAAAAATTCTCCAAAATTTCCTTTAAAAAATAAGGAAATAGAATTAATCAGTTATGTTTTCTCTGAAGAAAAATAGCCATATCAGTATGGTGAAGTGTGGCAGAAACATTTAGATGTCCCATTTCCAAGGAATCTGACACAAAGCCAGCTCCATTTAGTATTCAGTTTGATTTGATTTAATCTAAATGGCATGTCCTTTCCTACTTCTTTTTTTTTTTTTTTTTTTTTTTTCCCCCCAGAAAAGTCACTATACTCAAGCAAATGACACTTTTATTCTTTAATAATAGGACTTTTCTGTCTGTGGTTTCCCCTAATCCCCTAAATTTCCCCTAGTTATGGATAAGGCAAGATCAGCAATTCAGGAGCTATTGAGGAAATTTTCTGAAATTCAAGTTCTCAAGCTTTACAGCTTGCTTAGCTGGACTGAACTGAAACAAAGTCCATCAGATTGGATCTGGAGGTTCCTCCTTTCTTGGTGTAACTGGCATAAAACAAACTCCATCATTTCTATAAGGACTGTAGCATCAAATTCTAAATTTCTTTCACACCTTTTCACCATATTCTTAAATAATTTCTTCTATGAAAAGTGTATGTCATTCTTCTATGAATTTTACTATATTCCCCCCTCGGTAATATGTTTTCAATACATTTTACCAAAAAAAAAAAAAAAAAAAAAAAAAATTAAAAAACCCCAACAAGATCCCTGATTTCTGATATTGAACCAATAATTTGGTGTATACTTCATGTAAGGGTTAAGTTTTTTAAGTAGCATCTAACTAAAAACATAATCAAGATGTCTCTCTCAGAAAGTGTTATGAGTAAAAAGTAGGGATGCTAAGCCTTCCAGTATTGAACATGAACATTAACTGACCATTAAATGGTAATGACAGTTTATTCTTTATTTTCAGTCAGTTTTTTTCACATATGCCAAGGATTCAAAGCTTTTTATCACTCAGTGTCTTCCGTATAAACTCTTCTCTCCTGTAAATGAAAGCATTAGAAACCAGTATGAGGAAGAAATTAATTCCAGAGTTCATTAACTACATGGAGTTTTGGTCTCTAAATTAGGCACCCAAATTAGATGCTTAAAGCTAATGTGAATACATTCATGATTGGCCTAAACCAAATTAATTTTAGCCATTTTTATTCTATAAATATCCAAATGTAGGCCCATCCTAATCCATTAAAATCTATTTTAGAGAGCCTGTTTATTTACCTATATTCAAGCCTATGTGTATACCAAGGTCTTCTAAAAATAAAGAAAAATATTTTCCTATTCTCTGAAAAGTAAAATGTGCACATTGATTTAGAAAGGTTTTTCAATATTTTATTTCTCTTTTCTGAAATAATTTGATTGAAATAATAAACTCCCCCTGAGACTTTCCCTTGTGCCTACAGTTTGCAAGTTCTGAAGCTACTTTATTTAAAATAGAAAGCTGGGCCCCCATGACAGCTAAACTGATTTAAAAAAGCTTAGCTAGTACTTATTTTTTTTCTGCACAGATAACAGTAATTGAGTGTTATGCAATGAGTGTCTTATGAAGGAAATAAAATAGTTAATTATTTTAAGGAGCAAATCTTAGATCTTTGACACATCAGTCTTCAAAACAATTATCAAGTTGATCTTTAATTTTGTAGATATTCATTGCTGTGTGGAGTGTGTCAGCTTGTAAAACTGACGTGTGATGAACCAACTGTGTAGTCACTGTGAAGAGATGCAGGAAATAATTTTAAGCCAAAGTTGTATTAAATAATATTCCAATTTGGTATTTTTGGATTTTCAAAGTTTTTGTTCTTGATGACTCCTTTATGTCAGGTTGTTAATTTTCTTAACATCTTTGAGCCTTAAAGAACGCTATTAGAGAGCACAGAGGACATAGAACTTCCCCAGTAAATCCCCAAAATTTATGTCATGCTTTCTGACAATGGAACTTTTAACATTTTTTTCCTTATGACTGAAAGAATGTTGACTTTTAATGATGTTTGCATACTTATTAATGGTAAAATCACTATAGAACAGTTGAAGGATGATCAGCTGGAGGAGAGGGAGAATTATTAGTGCTTCTTTATGAAGGAGACAAAGGAGTGGCTTATCTAAATGACATTTCTTTCCCTGCATGTGTTTTTATATTAAACAACACTATTTTTTTTTTTATATTAGACAATTTATTTTTTAGACAATATATTTTTAAACAATAAATATATTAGACAATATCATTTTTATATTGGACAACCCTAACCAAATTTAGCTGGAAAAATCTATGGTTGTCTGAAATGGGCTGTCTGGTAACGAGAGTCAGAAACACTAGAATCTGAGAGGTTATTTTACTGCTTGTACTGCTTTTTTTTTTTTTTTTTTTTTTTTTCTCACTTCTTTACTGTCACTTTATTCCAACACCTGGGAAGCAAAGAGAAGGAAAGAGCTTTAACAGAAGGGCACAAGTGTGTTCTTGAACAGCATAATTTATAGCTCTTTAGTGCTCCGAGGATGTTGCTCTCAAAACCAGGCTAAAAAATATTTGTTTTGGGGTTTCACCGTAACCTTCATCTAATCTGTTTGTAGACTACTGTAGAAAAATCGAGGATGGACTTGGTTTCTTATTCTTTCTCCCCACACTCAGCTGCACTTTCCCATCCTCTAGTTTTACAGTTCATTAAACCACAGTACTAGCCCCATAATTTCACTAATCTGACCAAGATAATCTAAACTATGTTTATTTGCTTGTTTGTTTGTTTGGTATAGCTGCACTGAAGGAAGAGTCTGAAGCATGTTGAGGGATAGGGCAGAAAGGAAGGAAAGTCTAAGGGAAAATGGAAACACTGTGAAACTCATCTTCAGTATTTTTCATAATTTAAGAGAACAAAGAAGGCATATTGGGTTTTTTTTTCTTCTTTAGTTCTGCCAACATAACTATGGAGAGAAAATGCTTCTGCAAAGTGATCCAAAGCAATGTAAATAGGTTTATTTTTAAAGATAACTAAGATCACATTTTCTTATTTCTAATCAAGTTTTGATTTATCACCTGAATTACTTTTTCTTCTTCCATTACTTTGCTGTATCTATACCAAGAAAAAATTCAAAACCATCAGTGAAAAGTATGTTTTCATTGTTACTTTGCCTGTTGTTTCACTATTTTCAATACCATTTTTTTGAGTGACTGCAGAGCTTGTAGGGAGATTTTCAGAGCACAGGGATTAGTTTGTTGTGCAGTTTACATGCATGTGGATAGCATAAATTAAAAAAGTGGAGTTAGAGACAAAAGGTCATCAAGACACTCATGAGAATGGATTAGACTCTTGCAAAAATAGTATTTCAGAAATAATAGTTTAGCATGACTGTAGCATCACTAGCTTAAAGATTGATGATCTTAAAATGTGCACTCTTTCATTTTCCAGTGATGTTTGTTTTACTGGAGACACTGGATTCTACACCAAAAAGAATATTTGAAATTAAACTCTGTTGCTAAACTAGCTGATGAACCTAGATGGTTGCCAAATAGGACCAGTTTTATGTTCCTTGTGCTTGTATCTCTGCCAGTGTCATATGACACTTTTCACTTAACAGTGAATTCAGTGTTCAAAGCATTATGTATTTTTAATGTCTAAAATACAAAATGTGAATAAAAATAATTACACCCATGATTTTCTCCTTAGTATCACTCTCAGCTGCTTAGATATTATCTGATAAACCACTAATTTAACTGTAGCTGAAATACTTGGTTTTACTCCATTTAAAATGATGGAGATGGCAGATGCCTCATGTTGTTGTGCTAGTAACGGAACTCCAGATATGGTTGTTAAAAGCTTTACTGTTACAAATGGAAATAAGTGTGATTGCTAAGTTTGAGGACCAGATACTACCAACCTTATTTAAGTCTAGCTCTACAAAAGAAACCATTGAAACTTATTAAATAAGCAGCAGGTTGACGAACTCTGTGAGGTGGGTTTTAAACTGAAGGACTTGGTGGAGTGGGGTCCAAAGTGATCACTGTCACACCATTGCAACTAACTGGGGAATAAGCCAGGCCAAGCACAGCAGTGACAAGTGTTACTTAACTGCCTCCCAAGATGTCAACCAGAAGACCAACCACCTCAAGTGTATGTACACCAATGCACACAGCCTGAGGAACAAACAACAGGAACTGGAGCTCTGCAACCAGTCAGAAAGTCATGATATCATAGGAATAACTGAAACATGATGGGACAACTCCCATGGCTGGAGGATCACATTATAGGCTCTTTCATAAGGACAGGCATGGAAGAAGAGGTGGGTGAGTTGCGCTCTATGTTAAGGAGAACCTTGAATGTATAGAAGTCGACTACAGTGATTGTTTGAAGGCCTATTGAATGACTCTGGATGAAGATCAGAGGGGTTGTCTTCAAGGAGGCGTTGCAGTTAGCATCTGCTACTGACCTCCAAACCAAGACAATAAGGCCAACAAAGCAAGGTCACTTAAGCAAGCTTCTGGTCAACAGAACAAAGGTTTTGTGTTTTAGAAGAGAAAAATTCAGCTTGCTCAGAGCTCAGTTAGAAAGGGTTCCATGGGAAGCTTCCATGGAGGATAGAGCAACTAGCAAGTGCTGGGAGTTTTTCAAGAATGCTCCCCTGGAAGCACAAAAGCAGTTCACCTCCTTTAAAGGTAAGGGAAGTAGGTGGAACATGAGACTCCTTTGGCTTAACTGCAAAGTTCTGTGTCTGCTCAAAACCAAAGAAGAAACATTGCAGAGACAGAAAAGTGGACAAAGACCTGTTGAGAACTACAAGGACATTGCCAGGGTGTGCAGAGATGTAGTTAGAAAAGCAAAAGCTCATATGAAATTGAAATTGGTCAGAAATTTCAAAAACTACACAAAAGGGTTCTTCAGTGTGTTGGATTCGTGTGTGTGGTGGTAGGGGGTGTGGTTTGGTATAAGAAGAAGGCGCTGTAACAGTGGCCCCTGAGAGAAGCTTCTTGAAGCTTCCCTGGCTCCAAGTCAGACCCTTCTCTGGCCAACACTGAGACAATTGATGATGGTGGCTGCACCTCTGTGATAGCATATTTAAGAAGGTGAACTTGAGAGGAGGAGGAGTTGTGAGGGAGATACCTACATAAACACTGAGGTCAGTGAAGAAAGGAGGAGGGGAGGAGACATATTGGAGCAGAGACTCCCCTGCAGCCCATGGTGAGAGGGCAGGCTGTCTCTCTGCAGCCCATGTAGGTCACTGGTGGAGCAGATGCCCACCTGCGGCCCATGGAGGACCCCACACTGGAGCAGGTGGTTGTGCCCGAAGAAGGCTGGGACTCAGAGGGAAGACCATGCTGAAACAGTTTGTGAATGGGAGGACTGAAGACCATGGGAGGGACCTATGCCAGAGCAGTTCAGGAAGACCTGCAGCCTGTGGGAAGCACCCGTGTTGGACAAGTTCATGGAGGACTGTCTGCTGTGAGAGACATCACACTGCATCAGGGGAATCACAGAATCACAGAATTGTCCAGGTTGGAAAAGACCTTGAAGATCATTCAGTCCAATCATTAACCTAACACTGACAGTTCCCAACTACACCAGATCCCTCAGCGCTATGTCAACCCGACTCCACCACCTCCCTGGGCAGCCCATTCCAATGCCCAACAACCCCTTCTGGAAAGAAATGCTTCCTAATATCCAGTCTAAACCTTCCCTGGTGCTACTTGAGGCCATTACCTCTTGTCCAATCGCTTATTACTTGGTTAAAGAGACTCATCCCCAGCTCTCTGCACCCTCCTTTCAGGGAGCTGTAGAGGGTGATGAAGTCTCCCCTCACAGTCCTCTACAACTACCTGAAAGGAGGTTGCAGAGCACAGGCTGGAAGAGCTCAAGGAGTCCTGACCCTGAGGAAGGAGAGGCAGAAACAATGGGTGATGAACTGAATGCATTCCCCATTCCACATCCCCCTGTGCCACTGAGGGAGAGGAGAGAGAGAAATTGGGAGCAAAGTTGAGGCCAGGAAGGGAGGAGTGAGGTGAGGTGTTTTTGAGATAGCATTGTATTTCTCACTGTTTTACTCTGTTTGATTAGTAAATTGAATGGTGATGGTGATGTTTAAATGCAACTGGTGTTCTTTTTTTTCCCCTAATAGTTGGTCTTTTACCCATGACCATAACTGTTGAGTCATTCCTCCCTGTCCATATTTTGATTTTATTTTATTTTCTCCTCTTCATCCTTGAGGGGGAAGAAATGAGCAAGTGGCTGCATGGTGCTCAGTTGCCCTCTGGGCTCAAACCACACCATCCAGATTCATAAACAAGCAGAAAAAGGAGAAAAGCAGAAACAGGATAGGTGAATTAATCTCCAATAATGCTGAAAAGGCAGAGGTTCTCAACACTTTCTTCATCTCTATCTTTACCAGAACTGCTGTGCCCCAGGCCTTGAGAACAAAAATCCAGGTTGATGCAAACACAGAGCCACCATCAGTGAAGGAAGAGTTGGTATGTGAATGATTACAGGAGCTTGACTGTTACAAATTGATGGGCCCCAATGCTATCCACCCAACGGTGTTAGGAGAGCTGACAAATATCTTTACAAGGCTGCTCTGCATAATCTTTGAGAAAGTGTGGAGATCAGGGGATGTCCCAAAGACTGGAGGAAGGTTAATGTCAGTCCCAACTATAAGAAGGGTTTGAAAGAGGATCCAGGAAATTATAGGCCTATCAGTCTCACTTCAGTCCCTGGGAGAGTTATGGAACAAATCCTCCTGGGGGCTATCACAAGTCAAATGAAGCACGTGACTGGGAAAAGACAGCATGGATTCACAAAATGCAAATAATTCTTGACAAATCTGATGACCTTTACAACAAAGAAACCTGCTCAGTTAATGTAGGGCAAGCAGTGGACATTGTTTGTCTGGATTTCTCCAAGGTTTTTGATGGTTCCCCACAGCCTCCTCCAAGAGAAACTTATGCATTCTCTTCATAAGTTTTCTTCATAAGTGATCTGGGTGATGGGATCAAGTGTACCCTGATGAAGTTTGCTGATGATACCAAACTGAGTCCCAGAGTGGTCACCTGGGAAGGGAGAACCACTCTGCAGGAAGACCTGGATAGGCTGGAAGAGTGGGCTAACAAGAACCTTATGAAGTTCAAGAAGGCCAAGTGTAAGGTCTTGCATCTGTGTAAACATAATCCAGGAGTGCAGCACAGGCTGTGATCTACTCAGCTGGGGGGCAGCCCTGTGGAAAGGTATTGGGGGGTACTGGTGGTCAACAAGCTCAGCATGAGTGAACAGTGTGCTGCAGTGGCAAAGAAAGCCAACAGGATTCTGGGCTGCATCAAGGACATCACCAGCAAAGAAAAAGATGTAATTATTCTACTCAGCGCTTGTCAGACCACACCTGGAATACTGTGTTCAGTTTTGGTCCCTGATATACAAAAAAGATATGGACAGTCTGGAGGGGTCCAGAGGAGAGCCACAAAGATGACCAAAGGACTGGGAAGTGTGTATGAGGAAAGGGTGAGAGAACTGGGTTTGCTGAGCCTTGAGAAGAGACTTAGGGGAGACTTCATCACCATGATCAAGTACTTAAAGGGTGGTTACAAACAAGATGGAGACTCCCTTTTTACAAGAAGTCACATGGAAAAGATGAGGGGTGATGGGTACAAGTTACTCCTGGGGAGACTCGCATTGGACATGAGGAAAATTTTTCAGAATGAGACCAGTCACTGGAATAATCTCTGCAGGGAATTGGAGGATTCCTCAACCCTGGACACTGTTAAGATTCAGCTGGACAGGGTGCAGGGTCATCTTGTCCAGGGCGTGATTTTGCCAAGATGATCCTTGTGGTCCCTTCCAAGCTGATACTCTATGATTCTGTGATCTGAAGAAACTTCTGCTTAGTGCAAGGAAATGGGTACTGGAAAAGAGGAGCAGTATACAGATGTTAAAAACATATCAGAGATGTCAGTCTGTGCATGTTTTCTTATTGCATTTGTGTGTGTGTGTGTGTAAACTTATTCTTTTAAATGTGAATTATATTGGGTTTTTTTTGATGAAATCTATCATGACCATTACTATTTTAACATTCTGAAAGAGTAGATATCAGCTATTCTTTATCTGGCCATTACTTACTCAGCACTGAACTCTTTGGATCTGAACCAAGAGCAGAAGTCATACCCTTGTGTAATTATGGCTATCTGATTGATGATCATGACATTTTTAAATTTTATGCATTGTAGAAGATGGAAAAAATACATTTAAGATTTGCCCTTTACAAAATTAAAGAATTAAAAATTTATCTGACTGAGAATCACAGAACTGCAGTTATCATTTCTCCTAGTAAAGGGCAATAGTTCTTCCTGACCTGTTCCCCTCCCATACTGAGAAACTAGATTCAATATTTTGATAGTGCCTTGAGATGAAAAGGTAAATCTTGTCAAGAACGTCCAAACATAGTTGTCTGGGTAACAGGCTCAAAAGCTAGAAAACCTTTGGAGGGTAGCACATTAATATTTACATGGGTAAAAAAATTTATTTGCCTCTCAGTAAAGATTTCTATACTTTTTTTAAAAAAGTATACATGTCAGAAGTTGGCCACAGAGAACTTTGTATGGTAGCATTTTACCAGTTATCGAGGCTGCCTGTGACATAAAACATGACCTTAGCTAAAAGCCCACCATCTCAGGATCACCCCTCAGTCAGTTCTTTGCTTCATCCTTTATACACTGCAAGTTCTTTCTCTCCTTTTCACTGATGTCTAGTGCAGTGATATCCAATTGTGCTGGGTTTGTGTGCGTGTCAGGGTTTTCTGGCGGTGGGGCAAAGGGCTGCGGGGGTGGCCCCTGTGAGAAGCTTCTTGGAACTCCCCCAGCTCCAAGTCAGACCCAGCTCTGGCCAAGGCCCAGCCAATTAGTGGTGGTGGTTGCACCTCTGTGATAACGTATTTAGAAGGGGAACCTGTGAGGAGGAGTTGGAGTTGTGAGGAAAAGATGTGAGAAGGAAACCTATGCAAAGACTGAGGTCAGTGGAAGAAAGGAGGAGGACAGAGGGGAGGTATGTCAAAGCAACTCCCTTGCAGCCTGTGTTGAGATGGCAGGGCCACCCCCTGCCATCCATGGGGGTGGAGCAGTGAAGCAGATGCCCACCTGCAGCCCGTGGAGGACCCCATGCCAGAGCAGGTGGCTGTGCCCAGAGAAGGGCAGGACTCTGAGGGAATAGACTCTTGCTGTTGTAGCTCAGTGCTGGGAGGACTGCAACACATGGGAAGGACCCACGCTGGAGCAGCTAAGGAAGTACTGCGGCACATGGGAAGGACTCATATCGGTTAAACTTCATGGAGGACTGTCTCCAGTGAGAGGGACCCCACGGTGGAGCAGGGGAAGAATGTGAGGAGTCCTGCCCCTGAGGAGGAAGGAGCAGCAGGACTGACCGCACCCCCCATTCCCTGATCCCTGTGCTGCTAGGAGGAGGAGATAGAGGAACTGGGGGAAAAAGCTGAGCCTGGGAAGAAGGGAGGGGTGGGAGGAAGGTGTTTTTAACATGTGGTAATGCTTCTCACTGTCTCATCCTGTCTGTTAAGTGTTGTTTTTAGTGATTGAATTAAAGTGATGTTATTTTCTTCCACTAACAGATCTGTCTTTTACCTGTACCTATAATGAGTGAGTCACCCCTCCTTGTCATTATCTCAATTCTTGAGCCTTTCACTTTATTTTCTCCTTTCCATTCCTGAGGGGAAGGGGTGAATGAGCGGTTGTGTGGTCGTCAGTTATCCTCTGAGTTCAAATCATGACACCCATATGGATTACAGCTGCAGGAGAGAGAACAAGATGAGATTAACTGATCATGTTCTCAAGCTGTAGAAGTTTTGAGATCTCTGAGTTGTTCTGTCTGAAAAGGTGAATGCAGAAGTATAATTATTCTTTCCTGGTTTCTCTTTGTCCCTTTCTCATTAAATTCTTCAAGGGTATTCTTGCTAATTTGTTTGTGCTTTATCCATGCAAACTGCTGAGTAATGTGAATGAGACAAAGAAATAATAAAAAAAAAAGCAAAACCAAAGTGCAATATAATTGTTTTATTTTCTTCCATTACCATGAAAGTACATTTTTTTCTGGATATACATAGCTCTGTGTTTTGTACTGGTGTAGATGGGAAAGGCACAGAAGTACTGTAAGTAATAATCCTTACAGAAAGCAGCGTATTAAAAAAAAAAAAAATCAGCATTATTCCACAACATTTTCTGAAAAAATAAAGTACTTAAAAATTCTTTCCACAGTATGTATGTATATTGTTAACTATACTAATTGAAAAATAAGTCTTCTGTTTTCAAACTTTGTTTTTACCAACATCAGATATTTTGATAAAAATTTCAAAAAGAAAATGGAAATGCTTACTTCTGCTTTATAACTGTTCCTAAGATACTGTGTAAACTCAATAGTATTTGAGTTAGCATTTTTCTATTCTTGTTTGATTCAGGCATCTTTTTTTTTTCTTTTTGTATTAATATTATAGAGGCTAAGTTTCCATAAGTAAATATTTTACATTATGCTTCTGTACAGGGAGAGCTAATTTTCAAGGATGCAGTGATTACAGAGTATAGTCAGGATAGATTTATTACCAAACACATTAAAATTAATAACAAATTTCCATCTATTTTGAACTTTTATGTTTGAAGGTAACATAGCTGCAAGTAATGTAAGAATTTCACTCTTAATTTAGGGGACAATAACTATGTCCCAAGGTTCCAATCCAAATTTATTAATGCATTGTTATTCACAATGCTTGCCACCATTGCAAAGGTAAAGATCCAATGAAGAATAAATGCAGCAGCTGAATGTCTGGGATTTCTCCTGACAGAGAGACAGTATATGATTTCGTTAAAAAGGAAACCTATCCCATCCAAATAATTTCTACTGAGTAAAAATGTTGACAATGGTTTTAGTGTTTTATAATGAGTTGGCCTTTGTTTTCTGCTGTTGTTCTGCTATGGAAAAGTGTGTTACCATCAACAAAAATAAAACATCCCAGCAGATTAGGCAGTTTAAGATAGGCAAGACATAGAGAGTAAGGTGAAAAATAGAAGTAATAAAACAATCTTTAATTAAACAAACTTTAATTAAAAATTTTAAAAGCCCTTACAGATATTAATTTAATCCCATAACTATTCTTATAACAGAAGAAGGTTTTTTTAATAAAACAAATGGTTTTGTACCCTGTGCACCTAGCAGACTTTGATACACTAGGGGAAGTGGAAATTCAAGGTCACTCAATAACAGATTGTGTACAGAGTAGGAGCCTTCTTCCATCTCTGTTTATACGCCTGCAGATGACCTAAACAGACTTGCAGTCCCATCTAAATTTATATGCATCTAAATTTATTCACTTTCTAGTTCTGAGAGTGCACAGATCAGCAAATCCCAGCACCATGATTTAGAGGTATTAGGATTGCTGTCAGCCTCCATGTATCCTGGCTGCAAATCAAAACAAATTTTTGAAAGAATTATAGACAATTGGAGTATCTTGCTGTTCTTTATATATTTAAGACTTCTGGAATCAAGTTGGATTATTCCTCTTATCTAGATTGTGTTAAAAAATGCAAATAATTCTGAGGCTTTTGATCTGGATTTCCAGTTAATATTTCCCTCCTTACTATTTGATACTGGTACACCACAATGGAAGCGTAAAAAATCTTTTGACAATTTACATCTGTGTTTCAAACGCAGGTGTGTTCATTCATGGACAGAGGTTAGAAAAGAAATGTACAGGGAAGAGGAGACATATGGGAATAATACTTTTTATTCTCTCTCCCTCTTTCTCACTCTATTAAACAGATTGCATGACTTGCTTAACCAGCTTGCTAAGGTACAAATTCATAAAAAAAAAAAAGGTTTTCCGTAGATGTGATAGTAAATATTGATACTGCTTCTTCACCTGCAGTCAAACTTGTAACCTTCCAGTTACTGTTCATCTGCTGGCTGTGGTGTAGCAAATATTTTGGAAAAGTGTTTCAAGAAGTGAGCTGTTGACTCTGGGAGAACTGAAAAGCTAGCATTGTGCTAGAAGAGATATTAGGATTTTCCTGTACAGGGCTACTTCTGAATGGAATTAGCGCCAAAGTCAATCTGTCCAGAAAAATACCTGTGCTCTTTATGTGTTTGTGTGTGTATTTGTGTGAAAAAAATTTAAAGCTTCATATTTTTATCATCTTTCTTTGCTCTTTTAAGTAGAAGTGGAATGAACTTTAGTACAACCCAACATACTTCATGCTACTTTGAAGAGTTTTGTTCTAAGAGCTAGGAACTTCATTCATATACGAGGTCCCTGTTGTCTAAAGAGCTCTACCTGGAGATATGACCCACTGGATTTATTCATTTGGACTCTATTTTCTCCATCCAGGAAACATCAATAAAAATCTGTGAAGGAACCAGGCAGTGTTTCTTTGCAATTTACATCTTGTTGTTTTTTTTTTTTTTTTTTTTTTTTTTTTTCCCCCCTCAATATTTTGTTGCTTCCATTTCCTCATCAGGGAAATAGAAACATGATGAGGTAGCAAGCTTTTGGAAGTTTAAAAGCTATTTAGGGAAAAATAATTTTAGGAAAAACTTTGTTTACTGCAACAAATATTCCGACCCACTTACCAGTCTCTCTCCATGCCTGTGCATGAATTTTAGATTGAGAGAATCTGCTGCATCATGAAAACTTGTTAAGTGCTAGAAGAAAGAGAACCTATTTATAGTTGTCTGCTTTTGTCACAAAAAAAAATGTTTAGATATACTTATTTTTCTTTTGTATTTGCATTGTGCAAGCCCTTTTACTCAAAATTGCACTGCATGTCTTAAGGGAAAAAAAAATCACTGCATTTTAGAACTGTCCAGCCACAACTTTTATGTTCCTGATCCTGCCATATTACAGACCTTTAAGTGTTTGTACTGAGTTGATGCATAATGGACGGTACAGGACTGGTACCTTTCACAAAAGTGATACCTTAAAAGCTACCAAGCCCACATCTTTTCCCTCTGAGACTGAGAAGTGCCATCAAGACTCTGCATGTGTGAGTGTGTGTATGTGTGTGTGCACATGTGCATTTTACTATAAAATATATTCCCTTCTCCCTGCCACTCAAGTGCCTTTCTTTCCAGATTTGTTATTTTCAAGTTTGATGGACATGAAGCTTTAGGAAAGGATTGGAATCTTATTTTGGGAGGGATTTAAATCTTATTTAGGCTAGTGTTTCAATCCCTTTTCAGAATCCAATGGCCCTGAGACAAACTGCTACTAGATATGTGTCCCTGCAGCTAATGCCACTGTGATGGATGTACAACCTTGGTTTATTGTAGGTTCTCAAGTTCAGAATAGTATAGAGAAGGTCACAAGGAGGATACTGAATGATAAAACTTGGGCAGTGCTAGTGTCTATGTGCTATAAAATAAGAACAACCTCCAAACATGTCAGGGTTAACATAGAGGTAGAGTGATATAGATACAGACTTAAATTGATGAGGCACACGTGTAAATTGATAAAGGGAGTCTGATGCACCATACTATTGAAATTTATCTAAATTCAATATTGTTAAACATTCTTAAAGATCAGATGAATTATACATGAAGTATATGGATTATTTGTCCCAGGCAAACAATGGTGACATTTCTGTCTGTCACTTAGTATGACAAGGTTAGCATGTTTTATTCAAAAGTTTTAAACAGTAAAATGATTTGTATGCTTTACTCTTTCATTGGACTGATAGAGAAAGTAGAAAGCAGCACAGTTATTCTATGATGCAAGGTCAGATTTTGTATCAAATAAATAAATAAAGTGACAAAATGGGATTATTTCTAACATCTTTAAAATTCATGCTGAAGTTCTCTTGTCATCTGGAGACCAAAAAACACCCCAAAAAACAAGAAAGGTGAAGGAAAAGGATACACGGCAGAAGCTTCCTACAACAAGATTGAATAATGAGCGGCAACATAAAAAACCAAGACACCTTGGTAATAGAGTCCATGGTTTTAAATAAATTAAAAGAAGTATCTGCTGGACATAAAATGGAAAGATGTAACATGGAAAGAATTGTCTGAATTATATAAAATTAAAAAATGGGGTAAAAAATCCTCCTCCTGTGGTCATAGCTTAAAGCCTAATGAAGCATAAAAGTTTGGGGTTTAAATTCTGGTCTCTGAATTCAGAAGTCCCTTAGTTTTCTGGAACACTCTTTGGGTCATATTTCATTAATATCGCCCGTTGAACTTTTCCCACTGGAAAATAAAATAAATTATTCAGTGAAGCAGAGAACAGAAAAGTGGGACTGATGTTCTATGCCTGTTGGGGAATTCTACAGAGAGTTGGG